TCGGGATTTTTGACCGCCAGAAAGGTTAATGCCCTGGAAAGGAGCAAACAAGTAACATCAATAACAGGATAAGTGACAGATAGACCAAAAGAGTAAGAAATTACAAATTTGCGACCTTTTCTCCGATTTCCGTTTGATCGCCATCGGACAGCTGCACCAGGTCAGCCCGCAGTGCACATGCCTTAGATGCAAAATTTTTCACCAGGTCAGTCAGCCAGCTTACTTTGCTTCAAACAAGAGAGTTACAGAATATTTGAGTTAGTCTCACCTCGATAATTTCCTCATAGAATGCTTTATCGAAAGGCTTCTCCATGATGATGTTGTCCCTAAGAGTGCTGTTGCGTATCCATGGTAGTTGCGGAACATAGGCCACCATTCCTCGACGTCCCACATAGCCGTGTAGCTTTTCCATCTCACCTGAACTGCCCGATTAGTATATGTGTAGATAAGCAAACCGGATCAAGCTGATCTTCTGTGGATTCTTTTTGTGCTGGTCATGTTGGCAAGGTCATACAGGGATCACTACCTCTGTGGTAATTGCCGTCGGGCACGCCGTACGTTGAGATCACCAACGAGCGGTCCCCCCCCCCTTTCAATCTATCGGCAGTTCTTTGGGAAAGAAATTGGAGGTAAGAAGTGAGGAAAATTGGATTAGGATAATCCAGTTAGGAAAATCAGGATAGGGTAGGGATGTCGTACCACAGTAGTCTTCTTTCCACCTTAGAAAGGAGATTTTACTATCATTGAGAAGGGCGCATTCGATGCGAGGGCACCCTTCTCATTGATGGTAAAATCTCCTTCTTGAGGTGGAAACGATGCGAACAGTTATCACAAGAATGCTGAGTTATGGGCAAAAGTCGTGCCCCAGGCGGGAGTCGAACCCGCACCTCACGCTTTCCGGGCGAGTGCGCTATCCGTTACGCCACCAGGGCCGCTTTTACCCTCTCAGCTTAACGGCTTATGCCGTAACCTTACAGCACTCACACGTTTAACTTGGTGTGCGGGTTCGACTCCCGCCTGGGGCACGACTTTTGCCCATAACTCAGCACTCTTGTGATAACTAATTGAACAGCAGTTATCCAAAAAAACAGTGCGAACAGTCTTCCTGCTACACCCCCTATTACCTTGTACAAATCCTCTGCCAGATTAATGTGTAAGAGGTATTGGTACTCTTACGTTTGAATGTCAACTCAGTGTCACCAGTATCATCACTGCTCAGTAAGGCGGCGTTCATACTTTGCGACAGCGTCCAGCAGCGTTCGAGCGTCCGACAGCTTCAGCGAGTAGAAAAGTAGGATATCGATCTAGCGTCTGCCAGTTTCCGTCTATTAGCGTTCATTGCCGACCGGCAGCGTCTCGAGGGCTACGGAAGCATAACTATCAATCTAACGTCTGCCAGCATCTAACAGCAACCAGCAGCGTCCGGGAATGGAGGCGATAGGAGGGTAGCAGAGAGGTAACACCCCCTTATGGCCCCATACTCTCTACCAGCAGTCTGTTTAGGTCGCTGGCAGACGCTAGATCGATACCTATACTTTCGTAGTCGCTGCCGCTGTCGGACCCTCGAAACGGTGGATGCTACTGATGGATGCTATTGGCTGCTGCCACAGGGTATGAACGGAGTCCATCTCCAGCCAACCTTTTTCACGTTGTAAAGACCTCGACGGAATCTTCAGCAGCAAAAAGCTCCTCGCGGAAGTAAGTGAAATGAAATGAATTCTTGCAAGGCCTTGAGACTCACCCAACAGAGCTGCAAGTAGACTGGATTTACCAGCTCCTACAGTTCCAACAACTGCGAGTAGCCTACCTTTCTTGACCTGAAACAATACAGTTGTATAACCAGAATAAAATACAATCCCTAGCTTTCTCGAGAAAATTTCTTTTGAGCTGAAGAAAAACTTTTCGCCCTGTGCTGCACCCTACACATTCCAGGACATCACAGGACGTACACCCCAGGTGCTTCAGCGCTTTTTCAGAATGGTCTCCGAGAGCGTGATGTAGGGATGTATAGATGAACCAGGAAAGCGAGTTCCATCTTCGCGGAACGATGCTAGGAATGTCATAAAAGAGTGGGGGAAAAGTTTCTGGAAAAAAGATCAGATAGAATCGTGATATTGTGGTGTGCTGCGGGTTTAATTTTCATTTGAATAAACTATTCAATACTAGAATTGTGTCTTTGCTCTTCAACATTCGTCGCATTCGGTGTAGTGCCTACCCTTCTGATGAACATCTCGGGGTGTGCGACAAGACAATCGTAATTCGCTACGCCGTGCGACGTAGCGCCCGCTGATGACGAGTGGCCCATTGCATGTAGGGGCCTATCGCATTGTGGTAGGTATGCTTCGAGGGACAGCATGAAGTCGTACCTTCAATGAGATTTCACGAAGTTGTGGCGGTTCGTCACGATCCCAAGCAAACGAGGCCGATGAGAATTCCGCTGATTCGTGGTAATCTGAAAAAGCACTGATGAGAGGAGGGAAATGGGGGGGGGACAACTACTTCCACTGTAAACAGAAACTTTTGTCATCCTACATTCATCATTTTCGTCGATATCGATCGTTGCTTCCGAAAGTTCTTCTGCTACTAAAAATTCTTTCAGACGTCTGTTCGACACAACAACCTGGAACGATTCATCCGAAGATGCCTCATCAATGAAATTTAGCCTCAGAAGATATCATACCTGCACAGTTTGGAGAGATGAGATCAGCTGCCATCATCAATGGACCTCTCAATTGATTGAAAAGTGTCAGCGAAACGAATGCGATTTGTGGAGTCAGTACATGGCCCGGTGCAGTGAGCGTATAGGTAGCAAATGTGGTTAGAGCCACCTAAGTGACAATGCATAAAGCAAAGAGCTTGGCAGCTATGGCGAGCTATAGCGGTCGAGAGTTAGATCTAGAGCGACACGTTGTGCAGGTGAGGTACACTTCATATCCCAGCAATGGGGAGCTCGTAGATAATTCACTTGAACGTGGCCACGGCTGTGCTTCTCGAGAGATACGGCAGTTTCAGAACAGTTGCAACCATGATTTTGCCCAGTAAAGGATAGGATAAAACGCTCATCAAATGGAAGTTCTCCACGAGCAGTGCATCCTGCGCCATGTTCGAGTAAAGTCACAGCCACGCCCACTTCATTGCTGGGATGTGGAATGTAGGTGGGGTGCGTAATCGGAAGAGATCGTTGTTGGTCATTAAAAGTATGTCCAAGGTAAGTGGGACTTTGAGAGTGTCACTGCCTCACCAGAAATGGAGCGGAAATGTTCAACATGTCTGCCAGATTTTTGACAACACCAGCCTTCCGCACTAGAGCCATTTCCTTTACTCGAATCTCGTCCACAGCTGTTTCCATAGCCGGTTCCCATGCGTATAGTTTTACTACCTGCAAAAGACGCATTTGACTTAAGCTCAGTACCATGAAGGAACTCATGTTCGTAAACAGGAGTCGACTTTCGACTTGTAACGCAAGGCTCCAAAAGTGCCGTGAAATCCTTTCAACACACCTCTTCTCAAACTCTAAACTACTATGGTACTACAAAGGAGAGAAGAGAGCTTTGTAGTCCAAGATGGAACTTAGGTTAGCCCTAGCGATGGTGTGACGGTAAGCGAGACCATCACCCACAACATAACAGCAGTCTGGAGAATTTCGACTCACTATGACTACCTCCTAATCATTGTCTACATGGGATGCTTGAAATTCGGCACTCGTTACGGTACTGTTGGGGAGAGAGGCGGAAGAAAGAGCTCTAACGGTTCTTTCCAACTCCTTAAACGGAGTCCTTGTGCGCTCTATGAGCAGAAATGCACTGCTCACAACGCTGCGTAGTTAGGAGAGAAGCCCGAGGATTCAATCGTCCCCGAATTACTATGCCGATTCTGGAGAGCTGGAGAGGAAAAGGAACCTTTGCCTCTGTGTAAAAACGCGGCGGCGCAGCTCTTGTCTACAAAAACTCGCAGGTCACCAAGTTTTGAGTCCAGGCTTCTTAAATGTGCAAATTTGCGGACGCGGAACTCCATGCTAATTCTTTCTACAACACTCATCCCTTAAGTTTAGAAACCTGCTATTGGAAACTCAGTCGCTCGTGTTCGGTCTCACCTTGATTCCTGACAAAATTTCATTTGTTATTCGAATTCGCTCGTCTTTGAGTTGCATTCTTGCTGCACCAGTCCATCGCCTTTTGTTTATCATATGAACACCATAACTGAAGTATGGAATCAGCAGACAGCTGAATGACGTTCATTAAACGCAAAGAAATTGGAGATAATGAAGCGACTCTCGATATATTGACTAATTTAGCACGTGATAAATTCTGTGAGGAAGTTGTAGAATCGACCATCACTACAAACCGGCAATAACCGCACTACTCCCCACTGTTTCGCCACTTAGAAGAACATGCAGATTGATTATCGGTCAAAGGAAGCATTTGATTATCTTATTATCTGGCGCATATGGTTCTTGTACGTCACGCTGAGCGGCTGCGTCCCCTCTGTTATAGTCATCTTTTTCCCCTATTTTTTTCAACTATTCTGTGCTCCTCTCACGCAGATATCCTCTCCTATTGTCTCATAACTGCTATAGCTTCTAGGGATATCTGGTATCACTTGCTTCAACCATTCCATCAGGCCGCTCCCAGTATTATCCTTCTTCCTAGCCCGCTTTTTTCTCTCTATTGATTGACCTAGAGTTTCAATCGTGCAAATTTGACCATGCCCGCAAAACTCGACCGATCGCGCAAAGTGAAAGACTTCAAAACCTTGGAGGTAACATTGTCCACGGGGGTACGGAGTCTAAAAAGAGATCTGATCCTTCATCATCTAATGTGGAGTTTTCGAACTACAGCGCAAGCGATCTTCTCGAAGCGATAATGGAAAGAAACTCAGACCCGATCATTGGGAGGATGCTAGTAGCTCTATCAGATAAAACTCTGAAAGAGTTCTCAACCTCCGTTGAGGCCAAAAAACGATCCAGTAGCCTCGTAAAATAAGTGGGCTGGAAGAGACTCCTTCTTCAGCGACTATCGGTATGACGGTAACGTTATCTAGAGGATAAAATAAGTGATCTACTCGACACCCTCAAAGTCGAATGCCGTCCTGTGGAACTTTATCGATTGGGTAGGCCGGATGCTGGTCGACCTAGGCTTGTCAAGTTTGGTACTACCATTGAGGACTCGCTGGAAAACGGCTTAGGAAATGCTAAATGCCTTAAGGTGTCTACATCATTCAAAAATGTTTTCATTAGGAAGAGTATGACAGCAGAAGAGAGGAAAAGGAGAGTACGAACTTAGGCAACAAGCAAGGGAAAAAATAAAGGAAAGGATAGACATGAATGGGTGATCTTCAGAGGAGAGCTTAGACATATCAGTGACCTCCCAAGCCAAAGGTTGGGAAACCTGTAACGATGCATGGTGGTCTGCAGGAACATCGTTTAAAATGTTTTCTCCTCAATGCCTCGCAGTATTACCAAAAAATTAGTTCATCTACATGCTTTTTTATCTGAAATGAAGCCTGACATCCTCGTAATAACAGAAACTTGGTTGACCCCGCATATTCTTGACTCTGAATTGACTGGTGGTTTCCCTTACTTCCTGTATCGGAAGGACCGTACCCAGAGAAAAGGCGGAGGAGTCTGTTGCATAGTGAGGTCTTTTCTCAACTGCACGGAAGTGAAGTTGAACACCAACATGCCCCAGACATACTCTGCTGTGATATTCTTATGCATGGGGCCGCCTCTCCTCTGAGGATTATCTCGGTCTATCGTCCTCCAAACACTACGCCAGCCGATGACTCTACATTACTGGATCATCTCCTTGATCTTAGCTCAGTCTATAACGACACTATTCTGCTAGGCGACTTCAACCTTAACATAGAGTGGGAGTATAAACAACCAATAAACCATACCTCTGCCAGATTTCTTGATTTTTTCAGTAGCTGCAACCTCACGCAGTACGTAACGCAGCCCACACACGGCCGCAACATTCTCGATATCATACTAATCTCATCACAGATTATTGCTAATGTGAAGGTATTACCACCCCTCTCTTCTTCTGACCATGGGGTAGTTTCGTTTTAAATCCTTGAAGAGCACCGTATCCTTGATTCCGCAATCACTTTACCTCTTCCTGTCCCGAATTTCAGTAGTGTAAACTATAAAGCATTGAACTCTTACTTTCTTAGTGTGGATTGGCTCACCTTGTTTGACAACTTCACATCAGCTAGTGATGTCTACAAAAGATTTTGTGAGCAATTATACATGGCCTTCTCTCCTTTTTTCAAGTTCAAAACTCCTCAAACGATACGCACGGCATATCCTTACATGTAAGGAACTTAGTCGCTCAGAAAGAACGAAAGATTATTTCTATCTCTTAACCGTCCATTGGAAAATAACCTCTACAGAAAGGTGTGTCGGGACCTTGACGGCCATGTAAAGCTTCTTGCCAATCGTGAACATCGTCTTACAAGAGGGTCAAATTTGAAAACGGCTTTTCCACTATATTAGACAGAAAATAAGAGATAATTCAGGGTTACCTACTTGCTTGATACTCGGGCAAGAAATACATTTCAGATATGCAGAAAGCCAGAATATTAGGCGAATATTTTGCTTCCGTATTCTCCAGCAGTGGCTCTGAGCAAAACGTACCAGATGTTAGGGGTATTCCACAAATAGAAAGCAGACTTTCGGGGTCTTCTTTCACCCAGAAGATGTCCGAAAGATGCTAGAACCTTCCACGTCAGAAACATACGATGGAATCCCCAGATAGTATATAAAAAGTGTGCTTCATCCTTATGCCAGCCATTAACGCATATTTTCAACATTTCTATGATTCTTGGCGAGGAGGTGCCGGATTTGTGGAAAGAAGCCTTGGTCACGGCCATACCTAAATCTCCTAAGGCTGCAAACATCTCCGATTTTCGACCGATAAGCATTACGCCTGCCCCAAGTAAGCTAATGGAGAGACTAATCAGAGACAAGATACTGGGTTGGCTTGAGAAGTTCAACATGATTCCAAAAGAACAGCATGGTTTCTTGAGTGGGGCCTCCACGGTATCCAATTTATTAGATAGCTTGTTTGACTGGCAATCCGCTCTGAACAAGTGGAAAATCCGTAGACATTGTCTTCGTTGACTTGTCAAAAGCATTTGATAGGGTCTGCCACCGTAGATTGCTAGTCAAATTGCAGCATCTGGGGATTTCTGGGCAGCTTCTAGATTGGCTGAGATCTTTTCTAAATCAACGATACATGACCGTCAGGGTTCGTCACAGCTTCTCTGACAGACACCACTGTCAAAGTGGTGTCCCTCAGGGAAGCGTTTTATCGCCGTTGCTTTTTTAGTATATACATTGGACCTCCCTGCTTACATTACTACTTCCCCGAAGGTGCAGATGTATGCTGATGACATAAAAATATATGCCGCATACGATACTACCAACAAGAGTGAAGTTCAAGCAGCATTTAGGCTATCCCTAGCGAAAATGTCGGAGTGGGCCGCCTCTTGGGGCTTGACGATCAACTTAAACAAGTGTTCCCTTTTGCACTTGGGGGATAACGTTTCGCCGAGGTATGAAATCAATGGGGCTTTTCTGGAAGGCTGCAGTAAGCTCAAAGATCTTGGAGTTCTTGTTACAGAATGACTTGAAATTTTCCTTACAGATTGAGCAGGTGGTTAAAAAAGCATTCGCTGCGCTTTTCCTAATCTTTCGAAACATTCAACTGAAAGAACCCAAAACGCTGGTCCGACTGTATAATGCATACGTCTTACCACACGTAAACTACTGTTCTCAAATTTGGAATCCCTTCCTGAAGAGAGATATAGCCAAGGTGGAAAAGGTACAGCAGACTTTCACAAGACTGGTGTACCTTAGAGTACACCCGAAAACAAAACCGAATAGCGTGCCAAAGTATGAGGAGCGCCTAAAATGGTTAGGACTATTGAGCCTCAAAGAGAGGAGGTTACTCAATGACCTCACACTTGTTTTCGGCATCCTCAGAAGAGAAACGAGGCTAAAACCTAGCAAATACTGGGTTTTTAGACCCTGTAGTGAGAGATCAGGGAGCTTTGGCTTGAGCTACGTGAAAATTCAAAAGAGATTCTATTCACTTATGTTTAACTCCTATTTTAGTTGACCAGGACAAGCTGCCACCCGAGTTGCTCAGATCTGAAAACGGTAAGGTATTTAAGAAAGATCTGTATTGTGCGGAAGATCTGTATTACGGACTCGCTTCACTCCTTATTCTAAATGGAACCAATTCAGATGGCAAAAGACGGGGATGTTCTTTCGGGTGAGGTCAACGGCGATCGGTTGGTACAAAGAGTACTTCCTGTTGCGACCGTTCCATGCTTTTATGTTCCACACTTTATGTTGTTAACTCCATGTTCAACTTGTTGACTTTATGTTGTAGAGCTCTCTGCGGATGGCATTTTTTTCCTATTTTGTTTCATTTGTCTTATCCACGCTGTACGCCATATGGTGCCGGCTGGTTTATAGGGGTGTTCGCCACGATTCCGTCCCACATTTGATTTCTTTTTTTCCGTATGCTTGTGCTCGATATTTTTTTCAAGGCATGCAAGCCTTTTTGTTTCTTTCTATTACCGCTTCTATCCACCATGTCAGTTCCACGTTGGTATACCCGTGTGCCGAAGTGCTGGCATGTTCCCAATGACTTCCGCTGGAACGAGGGCGCCATAGCCAACTGGTGTGGATCGTTGCTCAAGTCCTTAGAAGTTATGCTTGCATGCGCTGCTACGTTCTAACAAGCTACGGTTAAGGATGTCCACATTTACTCGACCCTATTTCATTATTAACTCTTTGCTCCCTATGAGCCTGGCCTACATCATTCTCGGCTTTTAGCTTTTTGACTATTGGTTTTTTCTGGCACACTCATGCAGTGTATATTAAATAAACGAATAAATATGCAATTTAAGAGTATCGCTTATAACCATGGAGGGTCAAGTACTCAGGTCCCCTCTCCATATTCCGCCCGCACTAGCCTCAATATGCTGTACTTGCGTCCATACTGCTGCAACGTCTACCAGCGCCCACCAGAGACCAGCAGCATTTCGAGCGTTCGGAGTGCAGCCAGTAGGAAAGTATAGATATCGATCTAGTGACCAGCAGCCACCAGCGTCCAGCAGCGACCAGCAGCGTCCAGGAGTGATTGGTATGGGCATATAGAAGGGTAGCAGACAGCTGGAAGAAGACCAGGATATAGGAGGGTAACGAACTGCTGGTGGAGAGTATGGGGGGATACGAGGGTAGCAGACAGCTGGTAGAGTATGGGAAGATAATAGGGTAGCAGAATGCTGGTAGAGAGTATGAGGAAATAAGAGGGTAGCTCTCTGCTACCCTCCTACTTCCCTATACTCTCCAGTCCTAGACGCTGGTCGCTGGCGGACGCTGGTGGACGCTGGTCGCTAGTTCGATACCTATATTTCACTAGCCCTCAAGACGTGGCTCCTCGCTGGTGGACCTGGTGGTCGTTGCCGTCGAATATGAACGCAGCCTCGGCCGTGCGGCTGTCCGTATCGTAGCTCGGGCGAAATCATGAGACGACAAGGAGTCCTGCGTCCGTGCATTATAAGCGGAGAAAGTGATACGCTACTGCAGCTGCGTACCCTTTCACCGCGCATGGTAAGCTCCAAGTGTCCAGAGGGTGAATTCCTCTTCAATTGTACGGGAATCACGAAAAATACTTTACTCTAATACTAATACGTTACTCTAATACTTTATCGTACTTTACGGCGCGAAGGGGTGACAGGGCACATGTATTATCCGAAAAAAAGATAATTGCGCGTTAGTAGTGCTTTGTGCGACATCAATGAAAAAGAAAACGTGTACAAAGGGAAAGGGAGTGATGTACTGCTGGAAACATCAGGGATAACCAGAGAATTGGTGGGAACGGAGGAGGGATGAATGTTATCGTTCATGCTCTACTGTGCGTTACACAAACAACAGTGCTAAAGATTTCCGCTAATCAGCTCGCTTAATTACTGATTAGCGACACCTTTATATTAGGTGTGAGGTTGGTAAAAGGTGTAACAGTTAAAAGTACTGACGGTCATATTTAACGAATTAACCTCCCTATAGATGGGCATCAATAGAGTCCAATTACAGCGAGTTCTTGGCGCAGAACACATTCAACCTTCAAGTAACAGAGCCTAGAAGTTCAAATCTTTTGGGATACCTTCCATGATGAAAACAATAGAATTTTTTCAATACGTGCCCTTTTTCCCATTTAAATTGCGGTAATTTCATGTTGTGTACGTCTGCATTTCAGTTGCTCTAAGTGGTTAAATGTGTTCTTGACATTTTAAATTTATGAAAACATTTTTTTCTTTTCCTACGTTTACTTTTTTTTTCCTTCTACTTTCCATGTTCAGTTTGGCTCAGTCGTGTCTGTAGACGAGAGGTCAGGAGTTAGTGAGAGAGCAATTAAGTCAGGCAACACCGCAGGCGAGTCTCCCCGAGAGGCATGATAGGTGTGAAGTGAGATCTTTTAAGAACACACACACCCATGCTGGACTAGTGACAGCAGGCCCTTAGTTCCGGTGGGCGAGGCAACTATGGAGGTGTCAGAACTGCCACTTATGAGAGTCACAGCGCTTTTGTTGCTTATGTGGTGCCGCTCAAATGGGATAATCTTAGATTCAGGATCCGATCACTTGTACAACTAAATACGCCTGAAGAGCTTGAGCGCCGGGGCTATCCTTAAGCTTTTACGGGAAATTCTACTAGCGCAGGGTCTTTTTTGCCCCCCTCCCTCCCACATCTCTTAGCGAGACCTTACGAAATCAGTCTCACCTGTAAAGGGCTGCTCCAGTACTGCTGAAGTTGAGGTGTGATTAGACGAAACCGGTCGACGTCAATCGCCATCAAATTTACTATTTCACCATGAGTTTTCAAGCGTCTTGATGAGTTTGAAAGCCGGAGGGTCTGAATAATAAAGTACTTTTCGTTGATGTCTAGGCTTTACTCGCAATGATTTTCTCCATACAATTACCTTGCACGATTGATTTTACCTTGTTGTAGACGACAGCGGTGAGTATGCTTTGAATTTTCGTCCCCACACGGAACATAACAGTGTAGTAGTTGTTGAAGAAAAGAGATCGAAGCAAAGCGGAGACGAAGAGACCCACTGAGTAAAAGAGCCCTTCATAGAGTGGAGCGCTCGGATTTTCAGTGAAGGAAATCAGCAGACTAAACACGCATCTATGAAATGCCTTCCAGTGAAAATTTTAATGTTGCAGTAACGGCATATTCCGTAGCGAGGTGGTGCGAGAAGGAGAGGGTGACGACCAAATTTGGCCTGGTAGAGATTTTTCTTTTGTGGTGTTTCGTTAGTTACTTTGAAGGGCTCTCCATCTTAACGAAATGACATGGTTGTACTGCCTTGTCCATATATTTGACACAATAATAGCCCGTTCGAGGCTGAGGTGGTGTAGTGACAAGTGGCGCGCTTTCCACTTGCGCGGTCCTGGGTTCATGGTCGACTCCCGCTCAGGTCAACCAAGCCTTCTACCCTCCCCTCAGCCTCGAACGGGCTTTTATTGTGTCAAATATATGGGCAAGGCAGTACAACCATGGCATTTCGTTAAGATGGAGAAGCCCTTCAAAGTAACTAACGAAATACCACAAAAGAAAAATCTCTGCCAGGCCAAATTAGGCCGTCACCCTCCCTTCTCGCACCACCTCGCTACGGAATATGCCGTTACTGCAACATTAAAATTTTCACTGGAAGGCATTTCATAGATGCGTGTTTAGTCTGCTGATTTCCTTCACTGAAAATCCGAGCGCTCCACTCTATGAAGGGCTCTTTTACTCAGTGGGTCTCTTCGTCTCCGCTTTGCTTCGATCTCTTTTCTTCAACAACTACTACACTGTTATGTTCCGTGTGGGGACGAAAATTCAAAGCATACTCACCGCTGTCGTCTACAACAAGGTAAAATCAATCGTGCAAGGTAATTGTATGGAGAAAATCATTGCGAGTAAAGCCTAGACATCAACGAAAAGTACTTTATTATTCAGACCCTCCGGCTTTCAAACTCATCAAGACGCTTGAAAACTCATGGTGAAATAGTAAATTTGATGGCGATTGACGTCGACCGGTTTCGTCTAATCACACCTCAACTTCAGCAGTACTGGAGCAGCCCTTTACAGGTGAGACTTATTTCGTAAGGTCTCGCTAAAAGAGAAGTGAGAGGAGGGAGGGGGGGGCAAAAAAGACCTGCCTGATAGAATTTCCCGTAGAAGCCTAAGGATAGCCCCCGCGCTCAAGCTCTTCAGGCGTATTTAGTTGTACAAGTGATCGGATCCTGAATCTAAGATTATCCCATTCAAGCGGCACCACATAAGCAACAGAGGCGCTGTGACTCTCATAAGTGGCAGTTCTGACACCTCCATAGTTGCCTCGCCCACCGGAACTAAGGGCCTGCTGTCACTAGTCCAGCATGGGTGTGTAGTGTTCTTAAAAGATCTCACTTCACACCTATCATGCCTCTCGGGGAGACTCGCCTGCGGTGTTGCCTGACTTAATTGCTCTCTCACTAACTCCTGACCTCTCTCTACAGACACACGTAGAAAATAAAAAAAAAAGATGTTTGCATAAATTTTAAAATGTCAAGAACACATTTAACCACTTAGAGCAACTGAAATGCAGACGTACACAACACGAAATCACTGCAATTTAAATGGGAAAAAGGGCACGTATTGAAAAAATTCTATTGTTCTCATCATGGAAGGTATCCCAAAAGATTTGAAATTCTAGGCTCTAATTACTTGAAGGTTGAAGGTGTGTTCTGCGCCAAGAACTCGCTGGCAATTGGACGTTATTGCAATGCCCATCTTATAGCGGATGGGCTAATTCGTTAAATATGACCGTCAGTACTTTTAACTGTTACACCTTTTACCAACTTCACACCTAATATAAAGGTGTCGCTAATCAGTAATTAAGCGAACTGATGATCGGAAATCTTTAGCGCTGTTGTTTGTTTAAGGCACAGTAGAGAACGCACGATAACATTCATCCCTCCTCCGTTCCCTCCATTTCTCTGGTTATCCCTGATGTTTCCAGCAGTACATCACTCCCTTTCCCTTTATACACGTTTTCTTTTTCACTTGATGTGCACAAAGCACTACTAACGCGCAATTATCTTTTTTTCGGATAATACATGTGCCCTGTCACCCCTTCGCGCCGTAAAGTACGATAAAGTATTAGAGTAACGTATTAGTATTAGAGTAAAGTATTTTCGTGATTCCCGTACAATTGAAGAGGAATTCACCCCTGACACTTGGGGCTTACCATGCGCGTGAAAGGGTACGCAGTTGCAGTAGCGTATCACCTTCTCCACTTATAAGTGCACGGAGGCAGGACTCCCTTGTCGTCTCATGATTTCGC